TCGGCCATCGCGTCGAGTTCCTTGGCGACGGAGTGGGTCAAAGGGAAAACGGTAAGAGGGCCCTGCGGAGCGGGAGGTGACGCCTGGGAAAGGCTTCAGGGCTTCACACCTGGTTGTATTGTCTGCTGGGACCACGTAGGAATGCTAAGGTTTGTTCCTGCCAGCGCTCAGTCTGAGATATTCCCTAATTCCAGCATCCTTCGCAGCCTCTGGCAGTGGAGGTGTTTTTCCATGTGGATTCTGTTGGCTCTGGAGCGTTAAAGTGCTCTTGCAGAACACACCTTTGTGCCTCACATGAGCACTGTGTTCCAGGTTGACGAAGCACTGAAAATCAAGAACACGGATATCGCCAAGGAGCTCTGCCTTCCTCCCGTCAAACTGCACTGCTCCAGTGAGTAAAGCACCAACACAAACCCAGATTTGAGAGGGTAGACCTCTGGGAATAGCCCAGATGCTTCTCAGTGTTGTTTTCCAAATAAAAGTTCTGCACAAGGAGCAGCTGAGGTTGGCCCTCAGGATAAACTTGCTGATGTTCAGATTTCAGGGTGATTTTTAGAGTTTTTTGAGATCTCTTTGATCTTTTGGGCTCAGCAGACTGGTGATAAGCATTCAGCCTCTGACGTTCTGCTTCTGAGATGCCAGCTAGTGATAGTCAGTGCCAGCTGCTCTTGTTTTTACCACATCTTTTGTTCTAAACGAGTTTTGTTGTCGTTGAGACACTCGTCTGTTCTGTTTGTAGTGTTGGCTGAAGACGCCATCAAGGCTGCCTTGGCCGATTACAAGTTGAAGCAGGATCCAAACCAAGAAGAGCCAGAGAAGAAAGCCCACAACGCCTAACTGACTGTAGAGCTTGTTCTCATTCCACTTCAATTTGCGGTGCAATTATTCTAGCTGTTGGTAGGACGCAGCACACTACTATAAGAAGCTTCAGATACGCACAACTTGCGCACGACGTGGCGCTGCTCACGTGTGCACGGCCACTCTGCCAGGGCTGGCACCACGGGGACGTGGGTGCTTCAGCACTGTCCCCTCTCACCACCGCGTTCGGAACGTTCGAGTGAAGAAGGCTGCTCGGCTGCAGAGAACTCGGTGGCTTCCCTCAGGAGAGAAAATCCTGCTGTTCTGGTACTGGAAGGGCTGCACTTTTCTTGGAAGATGTCTAGTTTTGCCTAATATTTTACAGAATTTAGTGGGAAACATGGCCTTGGTCTTAATGTTTGTGTAAGAACTGCGGATCGGTCTGTGTGTTGATGCAGTATACAAACGTGGGGCAGCATGTCTGCCCGCAAACTTACGGCTGTGTTGGAGTTTCATTGCGCCATCCGCGTGCGAGTTCCTGCTCTCCGGAGTGCTGGGACGCTTCGGCAGGCACTGGAGGGCACTGGCAAGACACTGGTGAGAGATGAGTGAGTTGGTGCTGGGTGCTGCTGCTCTGGGAGGCGCAGGACTTGATTCTGCTCATGTCCTGTCACAACTACTGCTTGCTTTCATTTTGAAGCTCCTGTTAGAGGAACAAACTTAATTTTGGAGTGTCTTCTGGGAGAATTCAACCTTTGGTCCGGCCAAGTACTCTGTTACAGGAGAGTAAATACGCCTGTGGGCTTGAACCCAGGAGGGAATAGCGTAGAATCATGGAATGGTTTGGGTGGGAAGGGACCTCAAAGATCATCCAGTTCCAACCCCCTGCCATGGGCAGGGACACCCTCCACTACACCAGGTTGCTCAAAGCCCCATCCAACCTGGCCTTGAACACTTCCAGGGATGGGGCAGCCACAGCTTCTCTGGGCAACCTAGTCCAGTGCCTCACCACCCTCAGAGGGAAGAATTTCTTCCTTAGATCTGATCTAAATCTCCCCTCTTTCAGTTTAAATCCATTGCCCCTTGTCCTGTCACTACACGCCCTTGTCCAAAGCCCCTCTCCAGCTTTCCTATAGCCCGTTTAGGCACTGGAAGGTGCTGGAAGCCTTCTCTACTCCAGGCTGAAAAGCCCCAACTCTCTCAGACTGTCTTCATAGGAGAGGTGCTCCAGCCCTCGGATCATCTTTGTGGCCCTCCTCTG